TAAATGTGGTCATTGTTTCTATAATTTCACTTAAGTTTTTTTAAAAATTTCAGGTTTAGCTATAATTATTAGTGTTTTGTTTCACTTTATATGATGTTTAAGGTTTTTGTACATATATTAATAGATTATTTCATTTTTAGTGTTATAAAATATTTATAATCAATTCCAAAAAAAATAATTAATAATAAAATAATTTAGAAGATTTCTTTTTCTTTTTTTTGGTCACATAATTTAGAAGATTTAAATAATCAAAAACAACAAAAACATAATTAACTTTGCATAGAAATTTGAAAAACTCATTTAGAAAGAACACGATCAAATAGAAGAAAAATCCAAGTTTTCACTGACTGACGGACATGTACATAATACATACAAAGTGTTGAGATTCTTGTTGGGATATCAATCCAAATCCCACATCCAAAATTTAGACAAGAATGGTCTAATATATAAGTAATGTTCAACTCCAATTAGTATGATGCCTTTTGGGAAGGAACCCAAAGAACAAATTCGTGCGGACTTTGCCTTTGGGCCCAAAGCGGACAATATCATACTAATGGAGAGTTGGACATAGGCTTGAAAAGTCCCAATAAACCAAGGTTTAGAGAAGTGGACCTGGAGAAGTGAGTTGGACATGTTCGATTCAAAGAAGTGGGTTGGACATGTTCGTTGTGGGAGGTAAGCCCTCAAAAGGTGACCTCGCGAATAAGGGTGCTAAGAGTACAAGCGGTACAAGAAAGATACCAGGTTTCGCTGGAGGTAGAAGGCCACGAGTTTATGTGGTACTTGGTTTGAAGGGGAGATTGTTGGGATATCAATCCAAGTCCCACATTCAAAGTTTAGACAAGAATGGTCTAATATATAAGTAATGTCGGGTTTCGCTGGAGGTAGAAGGCCACGAGTTTGTGGTACTTGGTTTGAGGGGGAGATTGTTGGGATATCAATCCAAGTCCCACATTCAAAGTTTAGACAAGAATGGTCTAATATATAAGTAATGTCCAACTTCAATTAATATGAGGCCTTTTAGGAAGGATCCCAAAGAACAAATCCATGCGGGTTTTGCCTTTGGGCCCAAAGCGGACAATATCATACTAATGGGGAGTTGGACATAGGCTTGAAAAGCCCCAATAATTCTGTCTTCATGAAGCACGCAAATGTTCCTAATAAACGTAATTTAACCGATCGAGAAATAACAAATGAACAAAAGAGAAAATACAAGAAAAATTATCTACTTCATATGCAAATTGCGACTCTACGTTTTGTCGGAGGATTCTCCAAAAATCTATTACAACTAGTACGTTTACAATTTTTAATGCAAAGTTAAAATAAATGTTGGCATTGGAAACTTTCTTCCACTACTAAAAGTTGGTATCAAATTGGTTCATTAATAACCCTAAAGGATAAAGCGGAACATATTACAGATTTCTAGCTTTTAAATTTTTAATTATTCTCAGTGGGTGGCAACTTACACTAATTTATACCAGTAAGTATTTGATCATGCTAGAAAATTCTACCTTTTGTCCATTGGGAAGAATAAAACGGATGTAATATGGTAGCTAGTATGAATCATCAATGACTCTCAATTTCGCAAATTGTATCCAAAAGGACCAAACTAAAACGGTGATGTTTTGTTGATATCTAGATGTTTGGTGAC